ACACACACACACACACACACTCACACTCACTCCATGGGGTCTACTGGTCCTGACAAGTTCACAGTTTATGGTGGAAAGAGATAACCAAAATAAGTAGATGCACACATACGCACTAATATCCGCTCCATTTGCACCTCTACACACAGAGAGGAAATGTTTGCATGTCATAGACAGAGAAGTGCAGAGAGATGGATAAATGGGGAGAAGCAGACTGGGAGATTTAAAAAGACCCACATTATCTTAAGAGACCCATGAAAAGAACAGAAGAGGAATCAATAGGATGTGAGAAAATGGTGGAGCTTTAAAAGCTAGTTTTCTATTTCCTCAATTCATATACGCTGTTAGGAAAATACACACACACACACACACACACACACACACACACACACACACACACACATGCGGGCAAAAGCAACATGAATGACACTGCTGCTGCTCATCAGTGCACTGGAGCTTTCAAGTGCGTTCGTCTTTTCACTGTATGTAAATAGAGCGCATCACACCCTTTTACCTGGAGTTAAAACACAAGCACACATACAGACACAAACACACACTTTAAAATCTCATTTAGCCGAGCATTCACCGCCTAATGCTTGTCTTTAGAGCCTAACATTGTGGAGTGAAAAGCTAAGTACCCCCCTCCCTCCTCTCCCTGCGCTCTTCTCGATGTCAACAATTGATGTGAACACTTCAGTGTTATTAATTTCATATCCTATTATTTCATCTCTGTTTCGTGCGTGTGTGCGTGTGGTGCAGCACAGAGGAGCCTGGTGCCGAAGCCTTCTTGGATGCACTGTTTGAGGATCTGGCTTCGACACAAAAGAGCCGTAAGGAAGTTAAAGGAAAAGGGAAATGTGTCCATTTATGACATCATATCAATATGTACCTTGTAAATATTGTAATCTGATGCGGCAATGAAGTTAGTTTTAAATTCCTCTAAAAAAAAAAATAGAATGAATGCCACCCCAGCAGTCCCCCTATGAAACCGCATTTAAATCCTCTAGATCCATTCACACATTCAGTATATATATCAGTAAAAATATTTTTCTCAGAAATCAATCAAATCTGTCAACGTTCAAGAAAGTGGGGGAAAAAAAATCCCTGATCCGCCCCCTGATCCTGATCCATACAAAAATGTAATGGGTTCTTCCTCGGATCATGGAGGGGTGCTCCATATAACTCCGTGGACAAAAACATAGCCTTCCTGGCGGAGGTAGTGAGGAGCCACTTGTTGATATGAGTGGATTATTTTACAATAATATTTTCATCGACTTGTTTTTGTTCCACATTCAACATCATTTTTTAGTTTTGTTGAATAAGAAACACAATATAATTCTTTACTTCTGATTTATAAGTTACAGGAGATTAACTTTATTTATTCCATCCTTCATAGATCTATTTTTAACGTAGTGACTCATCTGTACATGTGACACTACAGTGGCGTGATATGACTGGAGGGTCACCACTATTGTTGGGTGTATGTTTCCATAGTAACAGGTCCGCGGGTGCTCACGGTGCTGGGCAGGGATGTGACTCTGGACAGGACCTGCGGCTCCATCGCCGACTGTACTTTTGATGAGCTGTGTGGCAGAGTAAGTTTTTTTTTATCCAACTTAGATTCATTGAAATGCACATTTGCAACGATATTACTCAAAATATTACCATCTTCAACTAGAATCCCTTCTCTTACAGTGTTGACAAAGAATTATAGAAGCACAAGAATCTATCACAGACTTTTAGTCCAACTGTTTATGCCTTTTTGTCGTGTATAGAATAGAGACACAAAACACGTGGAAAGACCTCTGACTGAATTCAAACCAGATTTTCCAGTTAGACAGAATGAATTTTGGACCACCTGAGAACCCCAGGACGCCCTCGTTCTTTTTTGACTCGCAACCACACACACTCATGCAGGCACACTCACAAAATCCACTCATCACTAATCAAAACTGCTCAGATTCAAAGCACTTCTCCTGCCTCTTTATTGCCTCTATGTTCTGTTTCTTCCCTCCTCTGCGAACTCATTGTCCAAGCCTTTGCTCTCAAACTGAATCACCTTCCCTCCATCTCAGTCCCATTTTCTGCTCAATGTCAAAAAGCAAGTCTATTGACAATTTTGTGAATAGTTGAGCCCATTGTGCCTCAAATAAAGCAGTGGGGTACAGTTATCTACAGTGTGTGTGTGTGTGTGTGTGTGTGTAAAGTCTCAAGTTTGATGAGCAGCCGTGGGCTTTTGCAGGCATCCCGGCCTCAAGGCTCCTCTCGACATGCGTTGGCACAGCCACATCACTTTTGAGAGCAATCCTCCTGAATGGCAAAGAACCAAGGACAGGGACTAAAATGACATCAGCCTGAATCTTTTGCACAAGTTGCCGTCATTGTAGCACTCATTATAGATACTGCAAAATCCTTAGTATCTGTGTGTTATATATTTTTATAGTGACTTGCTGCTGTAGGTTAGAAGCTTCACTCTGGTGTGTAACCTGCACTGTTGTTGTTGTTTCCCAGCCTCTCGGTGCTAGTGACTACCTGGAGATGGCACGGCTCTTCGACACTGTTTTCATCCGCCATGTTCCAGTGCTGTCGCTGAAACTGAAGGACCAGGCTAGATGTTTCACCACCCTCATAGACAACTTCTACGACAACAAGGTATTCATGGGCTTGTTACTTGTTGGGCGTTGATGTGGTGTTGGAATAATGGGAAAAATCAATTCCAGAACACTAACTCAACTCGGAAATTTGGCGGAAATTTTGGTGTTGCACCTACAAAGCAATGAACATAACTTTGTGTCAACTTGTTAAATGTTTTGCACCTAACACTATACTTTTTATCCAATATAGATGTTTTTATGATTAATGTGCAAATACATTTTAATACATTTATATGTCTCGATGGTATGAGTTCTTTAAATGCTCATTTAAGTGTATTTAAACACATGAATACAAAACACATTCCAACTTTAGTATATAAGTATAAAGTATATTAGTTTCAGATTTACTTACTTGTGGTACTTTCCAGTGTAAAATAAAACATGCACCGTACACAAGACTTAAGTTTAAGTAGAAATCACTATCATACTATTATATATACTGTTATATTTTATATTACGGGATAGATCAAATTTCAGCTGAGTAAAACATAATATACACCTCTCGTTAACATGTTGACCTCCTGTTAGCTGACTCTATTCACTGTAATTTTATCAATCAGTTCCAAATTAAGTCAAAGAAAGAGATATGATTCTGTAAAAAAGTCAATATTCACTTAAATCATCTCAGGAATGTAATAAACCTGAAATGAGCCTGTGATATAAGTACTCTCACCGAGCCAATGAATTAACGGCTAACTGCTCTCCTTTAATATTGATCACAGGAAGCAGAACCTGTCATTAATAATATAATGAGTTACATCCATACACAAACTGTGTCTGTCTGATGCTTCCCAGGTGAGAGTGGTGCTGCTGGCGGCCGCTCCTTTAGACGGACTGTTTGTCCACGCGGGAGGGGACGAAGAGAGGGACCGACAGCTGCTGGACGACCTGGGCCTCCGCGGGGTGAGCTGATGCAACAGAGGTTACAGCTTTCAGAAAAATCACAAGAGTTCATAGCCCCTCAGTGAGGATACATTCAGAACATAAGGATACGGGATGTGTGTTAGCCCAGCATGGGTAGTGGAGGAAGTGCAAGAGGTCAACAAATTTGTACTTGTTTTATGAAAAAATACCAAATTTATGTGAATAAAAAAATCAAATCAAGCGTGACAGAACACGACCCAGACTTTAATATCATTTCCAAAAAATTGTTTATAACTGGTGCGACACGTGAAGTCCAGACAGGCTCAGGTCAGTTATCTACACTTTATTTGAAATACCTTTTACCTCTTCACTTAATTGCACATAGCCATTAAGTCAGAGTCTGAAAAGTCAGAGGATGTGTCCAAGGTGTTTTGCCCAACAACTGCGTTTCATCACAGATGAGACCTTTTTTCAAATTGTCCCTTTTTTCAGTCTTTTCTCTAATACAGTCTTTGCTCTCACATACCTGCCAGTCCGGTCTTTTGATCCCCGGCCTGCAGCTCTAAACCTTCCTTCTATATTCAACATTCTCAGTTTAGATTGGATTTGAGTGCATTCGTTGCTAACCCTCGGTGACGGCTCCTTTTCTTCAGGAAGCAGCAGAGCGTCTGACTCTGTTCACGGCTGAGGAGGAGATCTTTGCCTTCCGGAGGACCGTGTCCAGACTGACGGAGATGCAAACAGAGTCATACTGGATTAAGGGAAACCGCTGTCACAGCACAAAGCACAGGAACACCTAACTTCCAGTTCTGACTGCCACAATAATTATATACCTCCAGACAACACAGCACCTCAATAACCACTGGCGCTGCGTAAGCAAAAGCTTCAGAAACAGAAAAGATCATGTCTATTTTGGGCGAGCGAAGCTAAATGGTTTTAGGGAATAAGCAGTAGTTTACTCCAGTGCATCCAGTAAAGGCCTAAAATCCACTGTAAACTACATAAAACTGGTCTGTTTCCTTTGGTCCTGACTTGTCTTCATTTTATGCATGTGTGTTATATCTCCTTACTCTCTATGTGGTTTTCTCTGTTGCCCTCAAGAACTTATTTATTTTAAATAACATAGAAACCTCTCCAGCTTGTGTGAAAGCAAAACTATCAGCTGCTTTTTTTCAGGCAGAGAAGGGCAGCTTAGAAGTGTCCTTCACAGCAGTTGGCTACCGCCCTCTGGTGGTGAATGTGAAAACTGACAAATGTTGCCAAGCTTTTTCTCAGCAGCTCAAACTGAATAATGCCTGATATGAATTTAAAACATGCTTCATGAATGTATTCAGGGAAATGCTGAGCCGCTTTAATGTTACCGGTACCTGTTGGACTGCATCTATGTTTTCCAGGTCTGAACTCTTAAGAAACTAGAACTGATCTTAATTCAGGTTCTATTTTGAACACTGTACTTTGTTCTCTACTGAAGATGGAATTAGTCTTGCACTGGTTCAGGTGATGGAATGGGAAACACCCTTAAAAATAAATGCAATAAAGTTGTAAAAGCAAACAATTGTGAATGAGGTTTGCATTTTTTAACCTATACTTTTAACATAGTGTCATGTGGATGTGTAATTTAATTAATGAGCGAATGAGCCAATTTTTTTTTCACAAGTTATCAGATTTTGCACATTAAGTAAATTTCACTTCATATAATCTTTTCCAAAACATTTTACAATGCACAAATTCTATAGTTAGATAATTAAATATAAACTTTTTGTAGCAACATGTGCAGTATAATATTCTATAGTGTATTTTTTATGATCTGAAAGTTGGTGTAAAAACCAAGATGTTTTCCTCCAAATTACCATTACAGTGAGATAAATCTTATATAGCTAAATGCAAATTATAAAAATTATGTTTGGCAGATACATAAATATAATATAAAGACCTCTGTTGTTTTTCATCTGTCAGTTAAAGTGAAGGGTCAGATATTTTTCCTCTGTGCTGTATCTCCATTATTTGCCTGTAGGTGGCAGCAGAGGGCAGCCATTAGCTGTAAGCCTTGTTATTGCAGTCCATGTAAGGATGAGGTCATCCTGGTGCACCACTCCAGCCTGGACCAGCCCAGCCTGACAGTCAGCAGCACCCACATTATCTCGACTCAGACCGTTACATGAGACACTGTGTGTGTAGTGTGTCCAAGCAGCCGGCGTCACGGAGCAACTTCAACATCCCCAGAATAAATCTATAATCTAATTTCACTCCAGGGAAGGTAAATGGCTCCATGTCCAGCCTCACACATGCACCTGATATGTCTTTTTAAAATAGGGCTGCTGCTGGCGTGGCTCTAAGTCTATCCAACCATAACTCTTAATTAAAGAAGAATCAATCGAGGCCTGTGCCGAGGTCCCTAATCCAATCAGAGCATTACGCTGTTTGGGGGGGAGATCAGATGCACACACACCTACACAGATGGCTGTCACACTTTGTAAGTGTCTTAACTGGATGAATATTGCTGGTTGAAAGGAGTGGTCACAGTCTCCATCCTTTCTGGACCACAGTCTCGATGCTGACAGAAGAGAGATAAAAAACCCTTTGTCTCTCTCTTGTCTCATAAACTGAAACGGTGTCTTGACACTCATGTCACTCAACATGAGCATGATTTGAACTGAGTTATACAACCGCAAATACAAGTATGTTGAATACTTGGACGGATTCCACACATTGTGCAAATACAGTTTCTAGGTCACTGGATTGTACTGTACCAACCTTGTGTTACATGGCTCCAACCTGGAGGAGGCTGTATGTGTGTGTGTGTGTTTGGTTTGCTTGTGCACTTCTGTGCCCTTGTGCAGCACTATCACAGCCTTCAAATGGGGCACGTGACGTGAAGCTGGCTCGTTTTTGCTTCACGATGAATTGGCCCAATGCCAGAGATACAGCAGCCTTGTATTTGAAGTTCATGTGTGACACGCTTTTGGTTCCACATGACTCATAAAATATTGCAGTTGGCACGTATAATATAACCGTATATGTGCAGAATTGGAACTGCTTATAAACTTTAACAGTTTATGTCAGTTTATGTTTATGTCTGTTTGATGGATAATTCCGCTGATGCATTCAATAAACAAAAGAGATGAAGTATTGAACAGACAAAAGCAAATATCATGTACTCACTATAGGAGCAGCATCACAAAGGAATATATTCTACTATTATTTTAATAGTAAGACGGCTTTGACTTGAGAATATTTTTCACAAGTTTTATCTCTGCCTGCACACACACTCTCCCTGCACATCCAGCGGACAGATAACTCTGTAGTTCTCTGCAGGAGCCAAACTGCTGCATCAGGTATTCTCTTTGATGTGAAGGAAACAAAACAATTGCACAATGTGAGTGTGTCTAGACTGACTGTATCTACTGTAATCCTGTGCAGTGCAGCCTGCACACTGATGCTGCAAGTGTGTGTGTGTGTGTGTGTGTTGAAGCGATGCCCTCACCTTCATATACTATAATAGTGACATATTGTGATTTGTCAAAACACACATTAAAAAGCTAATTGCATTGACACATAACAAATCCACGCAGCAATATTAAAGGTATATCTTTGTTATGGTCAGCTGTGAACGCGCATTCCTGCACAGAACCGACGAGCACGCGCACCTCGCACTGCACACGGTCCTGTGAGACAAAGAAGACGCGGACGAGGCTGTTTTGATCCAGTGGAGGTGGAGGATGAAGAGGAGGATGATGATGGAGGAGGAGGAGGAGGCGCAGAGCATCACTCACAGGATGAAGGACCATACAGGATCCTTTTCTCTGGCCAATAAACGGGATGACGTCAACCTCAACTCCGAGAAAGGGGGAGTGGTCAGGGCAACGTGACAAGCGTGATTGACAGCCTGATTAAAGGGACACTCAGCCTTCACACAGGAAGCAACAAGAGGATCATGGGAATATTAGTGAAACCTGAAATCGCAGTGAAGGATATGTGTGGTGTTATGTTTCACGTGCTTTTATTGTGAAAAAACCCATACATTAGTCACATGTGTAGCCTGTCAAAATAAAATAACTTCCAGTATAGATTATATACAAATGGAACTGAATCAGTTGTGATACTGTAGAACACCAAGAAATAAAAGTGCATTTTCATCCTTGTAATCATATGAATATGTCAGCTTTTTAAAAGGGATTATTTTCTAAAATGATAATAAATTAATAATGACAACAGTTGAGTTAAAGTGCTTTACAATCATGGCAAAGAACAGTAACGATAAAGATAGGGAGATAAAAGAAACACAGAAAAAGTCGTAAATGTTAAAAATGGACAGTAAAAGACAATACAAGTCAGATAAATAAAGAGAAATACAGTAAATGACACTGAAGACAAGTCAGATAAATAAAGAGAAATACAGAAAAAGCCATGTTAGATGAGTTAAAGAGATAGTGTGCAATATATGAGACAGTCTGATCAGATGTATCTGTGGGTCGCAGTCCTAAACTGCCTTTTTGAACTTGTAGCACACCTGTGGACCAGTGTGTTATTGCACTGACACCAAAACACATCCTTTACAATACAAACTGCAAACACTTCATCTACCAGATATTTTCAAACCCTAATGAAGGACTTCACATTATAAAGCTTCTCCTCTCGTGTCCATCAGCAACATGTCAGGACGTGTCCCTGCAGCTGAGCTCACTTCGCTGTGTCTCTTTAAAAGGCGAAACCATGCACAGGATCCAGGGGGCCGGGCCTTGGTGGTGGACGTGCGTGCATGTGTGTGTGCACGTGTGTGTGTGTGTGTGTGTGAGTGTGAGTGCAGAGCAAACGGGGATACAGTAGTAACCCAGAGTGAGGTGGCAATCCTCCTCCACACTGACTTGTCTGTGCGTCGCTGCACTTGAGGAGTGAGAAGAAGAGGAGAGTGAAGATGGCATCGCGAAGTGACTGTGGACAAACCGGGATCTAGTTTCTTCCTCAGTTTTTTGAATTTATTGATATTTCACTTGGATCCACGGAGCGAAGTATCGTGCAAGGTATTCCATTTAAAGAGTTCAGATGCGATTTGTGTGACGAGGCTGGAGCACTTTCTCCTCCACTGATCTGCAGCAGGAGGATTCAGATCCATGGTCCGGGCACCAGGGCTGGATTTTACAGATTTGTTTTATTATAAGAGACGTTTTTTTATTTATTCTAACGGGTTTTATTGTAGCGTTGAATGTGTTGGTCATCAGCTGTGGTTTATTACATGTGATCGGTTGTGTTTTGACTTGGCTCTGCTGTGGTTGTATTTATATTGTTTTCATGTTTTCCACAGAGAATAGCAAAGTTGCGCTCGGCCCCGTTTGGGACTAAGCTCGTGTGGAATAGCAACAAAGGACGGGAGCGCGCATTCATGGGACGCGACTTTGACAGCTCCCGGTTTCTTCACTTGTAACTTGGAAAAAAAAAGCGGGGCCACGATTGAGACTTGAGCTGGAGAACATGGCCGAGGCGCAGCTAGCCGAGCCAGTACCGGACCTGGACGTGGCCATCGACCCGGACTTCGAGCCCCAGAAGCGCCCCCGATCCTGCACCTGGCCGCTGCCGCGACCGGACTCGAGCGCGGGGAAGCCGGAGAGCATCGAGGCAGACATCATCCCCGAGGAGGAGGACGATGAGGAGGACGGTGCCACCCCAACGCGCTCCGGAGTGGCGGCGGAGGACCAGAGCAGCAACAGTCCCGTGGCAGCCGACGGATCGCTCTCGTCCCCCGGCCAGGAGAGCGGAGGCTCCCCGCTCTCCACGCACTCCCCGTCGGCGCTGACTCCCAACAGCCTCGCCGCACAGCAGACCCCGAGGAAGGCTTCGTCCCGCCGCAACGCCTGGGGGAACCTGTCTTACGCCGACCTGATAACCAAAGCCATCGAGAGCGCACCGGACAAAAGACTGACACTGTCCCAAATCTACGACTGGATGGTGAGATCCATCCCTTACTTCAAGGACAAAGGCGACAGCAACAGCTCTGCAGGATGGAAGGTAAGATTGAGTCACTCCATCCCACCCAGCCAGCCCCCCTCCCTCCTCCATCAAAACAAAAACAAAAAGCATGTGGCTTGTGTACCCACTGACGCACGCACCCAAGCACTCTTATTATTATGAGGCATTATTCGGGTGTCATCTGGGAGTCACCATTGCTTTTTATTATCATTCTAATGCAAAATACAGTTAAGGCAAAAAAGACTAAAATCTCATCAGATGACATTTAAGCTCAATAGATGCAAGAGGTTTGGGGACCTACACGTGATGAAGAGACCAAAACAATGATATCCTGCAGAGGTTTAATAGAAATTAGTCCGACAGCATTTGCATCAGATTAATGTCTATTATCTTTATGTTTTTGTTCCTGATGAGTAATGTGTGCATGATGTTCCTCACAGTCACATGTTTGGAATTAGAGCAAACAGATACGTTGCAACCGGTTTGACTGGAAACGCACTGGCCCATTTTGAGTGACGCAATCCCCCTGTTTAAGACGAGACAATGAGACAATTACATAAGGCAGTTTACTGAAGAGCAGCAAATCCACTAATGGGACAAGGAGCTGAATGTAAACAACACAATTTGACCCATAATGCCGAAAGGGAAAATGTGAATCCTGAGAAGACCTCTCCTGCACATGTAATCTCCGTGTGATCTGTTCTTTTAGCCTTTTTGCAGGTGTGAATACATGCTTTTATATACAGAAGCTGAATTTCTGCTGTGCTACTGTAGCCACAGAGGTATTGCCCTGTTTGCCATTTGTTATGTAAACCTTGGCAGGGACGTGTCAGTCTCTTGGGTCAGGTAGGCAACTGCCAAGGTTGCTGATCCTGCCACGGGGGAATTACATAACCACTGTGTTGCTGCTGCTGAGTTTGGGTGAGCCGTTGAGGGTTTAAGCTTCTTTTAAAAGCAGCGATCTGGTCGACCCAAAAAGACATATGGAGCCCGCGAAAAGAGAGGGTGAGGGGAGGCAAGGGGCGATGCAGCGGAAGGTCAGAGAGCAGAGATTAACACCCAGGTCCAACCCCATGGGGTGTGGAACATATAGGCCATATTTTGTAAGGGCTTCTCAGGTTTTGCTATGTGATATGGTCAAGTGGAGAGCAAAGATGGGGGGGGTGTATGTGTTGCCCCCACCAAGTCAAGGCCAAGTTCATCGTTACCATGCAGGGCTGTTAGTCCTGGAATTTCAGGCATGAGGGCCAGGCTGCTGGTGGTTTAGTGTTACGCTCGCTCTGTCAATAAATGTTGGCTGCAGCTCACAGCCTATGCCCTTTCTTATATGCTTCTTATAAGAGACTCTATTCATCACAGACTCCAGTTGTGTCTCAACACAAAGTTTAGATACGCTCTTCTTTCGGATGATTCATCTCCACGGCACCAAACTGACAAACAGGTTCCTTTGTATTCAAGGCCTGAACCTGTCACAGGCTGCACATTTTAGTAAAAAAGCCCACGGAACCAAAGGTGGCCTGCAGAGCCAGGTGTTCAGACGACTACCTTCATACAGGGACGTTGTCAGGGCCCCTCTGCTCTCCATTTCACTGTCAGAGACTCTTTGGTTTCACCTGCACACAGGGCCGGGTTTGAACACCTACAGTTTCATGCAGCCATGCAGGGCACCTTTGTTGAGGAGATTTGCTGAACAAATCCTAGTAATCCCACTGGGTTTCTCTCCCAGGTTCCCACTTACGTCACTCTGCTTCATATCTCTGTCAGTTAACCATTAGCCCCAGTAAAAGTAGGTTGGAGACAGCCAAGCACAACACCAGGAAATCTGTTATCACTGCGGATTGTCTTTAACTGAGAGGAGACACTCAATATGCTTTTAATAGAGTGTTAACAGTGTTCAGTCATTTACTCGTTCTTACACAACAAAGTGTGAAGAAAATTTATTGTGCAGCCATTTGTGTTAATAGACATGAATTGACATTTTTAGACATTTAACTTTGGGGATGTTGGGTTCTTTTATTAGATGAACAGAAGGGGAAAAGGTTTCATATCTGTACTGAAACTCAGATGATGTGTAAGCAGTTCAGGGGTCAGGTATTTCACAAAGCAAGTGCAATCTGAATGTGATGATTTTCACCTGAAATGAACTGAACTGAGTCAGGATATGGAAGCACTTATGACCTCAGCTGAACACTTTTATAGAAATAGCCTGATTGCATAATGCAACATTTGAAACCATGGTCTTTTATAGACATCCTACATTTTGAAATGAGTCAGAATCCCTCTTGATTTGTATGTGTTAGAGTTTGACAGCCCGTGTGTTAGACCAGTTCACCTTTTTTATGGTACTGCAGATCATACCAGCACATGTAAAGAGTTTTCCACCACAAGTTCTGTCTTGAAGGTCTGGTTTGGAGTTGCTGAAATGTTTGCTAAGAGAAGCTTTGGTATGGCGGGGGAGTGATGGACTGCATCTCAAAATAGCCCCCCTGTAAACATGCCTGTAACTCTCAGCGTGTAACTCTCTTTTCATCTGTGTGTCTTTGCATAATGAAGAGATTAGGTGCACTGGTGTGTATGTATGTGTGTGTGCATGTGTGTGTGTGTGTGCGTGCAAGTATTCCTAGCTGCACTGAACTTTGTGCTCTAGTGTTACTTAACCCTGGTGTAACAGGGTCCTGTTCCAGCAGCTGTCCATCATGTGCCAAGACCTAGTTATGTCTCGGTGACACACACACACACACCCATA